ACGTTAGCTCTGGAGGAGGAGGAGGAGGAGTAAGGCTGTTTGTTTCTGATGCTCTGTTCTCACAGACTGTCAAAGGATGGAAGTCAATGCAGCAGTCAGAGCTTGGATGGACATGATGAATCAATTTTTTAAGTATCATTTTATCTATAAAGTATATTAAGTTATACTACAAATCTGTAATTATTGCAGATCTAGTCTTCTGTATTTTGCTCATTTTAAGGTAATATTAACATTTTTAATATTTTTACTGATAATTATTAAGTCTTATCTGTTTTTTATTGTAATTTAAAACAGAAAGTATTTTGTTGCACTTTATATTAAAGTCTCGTTGCAAGGATGACCCCCCATCCCCCCTTGTCTGACAGTCTTAGGACTAATGTGTCAGAATGTAGACCCCATGATCCCAGTATAACATCCTCTGGGCTTGCTTCACTTGACCCCTGTAAGAGAGAAAATCTCATTGTGGACAGTGAAAAAGCCGAGGTCAATCACTGTGAGAGCAAAAGATACCAACAATGGACAAAGAGGGCAGCAGATGATCAGGACAACAAGACTTTTGTTTTGTATATTGGAAAGGTACAGAGCTGTATAGATTTCTGTGTTTTCATGGACGTAGACCCTCTTATCCTTTTCCTGACATGTTCATTGATTGTTTTGGTAAGTGATGCAACAGTTGACAGCCTAACAGTAAAGCAGCATATCGCCATTTACTATAGTGGAGGGAGGCATACTTTTGTTATCATTAAATTGTCAACAAAAATGTTGTCAACAAAAATAAATTAATATTGCTTAAGTTTTTGTTAAAATTGCTTACCCCAGCTTAAACAGTGGTCCCACTTAAAGGGATATTCTGGCGTAAAATTAATTTAGGGTCAAACACACCGTAACACCGAGTTAGACACCCCCCTCGAGAGATGAATGTTGCCGACCGCTTGCTTCTCTAGTTAAACCAACTTTAGTCACAACCGCGACTAAAAGAGACTAAACACAACTCACCTACTCTCATCCAGAAGCCGCTTGTTTGTAGCAGGACCTCAGGCCAGTCCATTACGGACTGCTGCGGGGTGACGCAGCTCAAGGAAGAACATTTATGATCATTACTCTATCATTTCCTTGAGGTAATAATCATCATATTAATGATTTTGCACTGCAGACACGGTAGTTCTTCTGCTCTGCTTTGGCGTCTTGGTCTGATTGCATATCCATGAAGAAATGCAATCAGAGTTACAGAGTTACAGATAAAGTGCCTGTTGCAGGGTGTATTTCGCCTGACTTCCATACATCTCCACGTACACAGTGGCTCATTCTGTTTTACCTGACAAACAAATAAAAGCAAGCAAAACACTCACTTTGCATCTCGGCTCTGGTGATAATAACCACTATAGAGCAGAATAAACATCCAGAAACCAACACTTATCTGCCTGTCCTTTTGTGCTCAACAAAAAATCCCCCTTTCACTTCTTTTGTGATGGAAAGAGCGGCAGTAACAATGCGTAGTAAAGGCACAAGCAATTCCTCCAAACTACAGGTGCTCACATGTTGTTTTTTTAAGGCTGGGTTCCAAACAAATGGTCTCACACCTCCTTTAAACCGGCTCCATGTTGCGCTGTGTGTGAATGCCAACATTTCTGCTCTGCCTCATGAAAGGAGCAGATGCTTTCATGCGGATCTCTGAAGGGCCATCACACGGGGGGAATGAGACGCAGGACAGAAATGGAATGAAATTGTTGCTGTTGGTGCTCAAGAAGAAACAACACAACTAACAAAAATCTCTATGGTTTTTAAAAGGAGAGTAAATCAGTGTGATGGAGAAATGGCTGAGCCACATTGCTCTCATTTTCTTGTTTTATTCAGCCTCCGTCTGTCTCTGCTGGTGAGCTCCACCTACGTACTGCAGAGACAAATGAAAGGAAGAGAGGCAGAAAGAGATAGAGAGACATCTGTTGGCTCCTATTGTGTCTAGATGATTGCCCCCTCACTGACGCCAACACACAAAACCCCACACATCACACAACAAACACACACCGCTCATGTCTTTGCATGAAGTCTGGAGAGCTGAACTGGCACGGCTGCAGTCGTATGTGTGCTCTTTACAAAGACGCTCCCAGGGCAGCTCTCCTGTAAGAAGAATCAAAAGCAGAGCCAGCACAACAAAATAACAAAGAGCTGTTTGTAACAGAGTTTCTACAGCCCAGCACAGTCCACACACATGTGCACAAACACATTCATGGACTCTGAAAGAGTCTCTGCTTCAGAAAATGTGGAGATATTTTGTTGTAGGTCAAACTAAGACCTTAATAAGAAACAAACATCTAATGAATATACATTTATTCTTATTGTTAGGACACAGAGCTCTGATGCACATACACTAAGCCATATGTGGAGCTTCTTTATAGATCAGTTTTAATACATTTGTGCTTATTACAAATGAAAACCATGCTAAACCACAATATAAGAGTAAATAATAAAACTATGATCCTACTGTCATGTTGCTACTCCACTAAAATGCTCCACAAATACAGACAGATTGCAGTAAGGCTGCAGTAATCGACTGTTTTGGTAATCAAGTATTTTAACGATGGTGGGTAATCAATGTCTTCTTGCTTTTATCGCTGTAACAATAAAAATTTCACTGCCGGGAGAGTATCAAAGCATTATTTAATTCTGGAAACGAAGGCGAACTTTAACTTCTGTCAAAGGAAGACATAAAAAGGTGACTCTATCGGCTCATTCATGCTCGCCATATGTATGAAAATATATGTGTCCGTTTCAAACGATGGTTCCGTCACTACCTATTAACTTCCATGCGTCCTTTACGTTGGCATGGATGTTAACCATTACATCCACCAGGGGGCAGGCCGAAGTCAAAAGTTTCTGACAACAACAAACAAAAAGAATTGTATTCTTCATTTTTCTCTAAAGATGCATATCGGGTAGTGACAGCAGCAACACTGCCCCAACGGTTTCCGGTTGTACTGCTTTGTCTGGCCCGAATCCGTAAACTTCAAGTATACGTGCAGAAATACAGACAAAAAGAACGCGAAGCACAGATGGAGAGCTCCGTCCGTATCTGGAACCATATGTAATGTTGAGCATAGATGAGACTTAAGACTCCCGTACTGATGAGGGGAAGATTAAAGGTTGGTCTAAATGCAACAGACATAATCAAAAAGATAAGCACTGATCAGTCATAGACTGTATATAGAATGGACATCTTCTGCCTCAGTGCCTGAAGCCTCTGCAAGAACAGCATCTCCTGGTGACTGGTTGCAGTATAGGTATAGTTACTGTCAGACTGGTTTGGGTTCAAGTCCTCTTTTTTTCTGTGCAGCTCCATTTTTAAAAGTAATAAGGGGTTCATGTTTTCTATGATTGATACTTGATACAGCCTGTGAGCGTAAGAAAGTTGTGTTGAACATCTGGAGGATGTGCTGTTTAAGCAGCACCTCTGAAAGCTATTGTGAGAATGCCTGTTTCAGGAAACAGAGAAAATCATGAAAATCACGAGAGCAATTTGGCTTCAAATTCATACAATGGCGGGAGGCGCAGCAAAGTTGTCCACACTATATATGGTCTATGCTCCCGACTGTTTGTCAGATTGTGGAGATGAGAAATACTTCCTGGTTATGGATTTATCATTAACACAGAACAGCCCCATGGCCCATTCCTGATCCATGTGGACTACAACAGGACTTAGCTGCCAACTCTGTCTGAAGGTAACAACACAGCAAAGTGGAAGATAGTTTACTTTATTAAACATGAGTAAACCTGCACAAATAGTGACTTAAAATCATGTTGCTTGTTCACATACAGTAGAAGCACAACAGTCTAAAAATAAAATCAAAATAAGTAGGAAATCGACCACTGAAAGGCAAAGCAACCTGTTGTAAGCATGTTGTTGTCTGTATACTGAGTCTAGCTGCCCGGTGCTGCTCCAAACACACTTCCAGTGAGCGATGACGCACACTGCTCGATGCAACGGTGACGGAACGCGCCCGACACGCATCCTGTGTTTTTTTTTTTTAGCTTCATTCTTTATTTACTGCTCAGATTATGAAAAATTATTGATCACTGGGAAGCCACAATTCTTGGACAATAAATTGTGATCAGTATGAAATTTTTCACTCTGAATTTTACCCAGACTTTTCCTTGATGAAAATGGGGGTCTGATGTGTCAAAACAGCCGGATATATTCAGGAACATTTACTGTGAGCAGCCAAATTAGGGTGATAATGTTCCTATTATATTCATATAATGCAGCCTGTGTGCTATCTAGTTTTGCTGCTGTTTATTTTCATGTGTTTGTGTTACAGAAAGGACTCACATTAATGATGTTGTATTGGTTTAATTAGCTCTGGGTAATAATGCTGCAGGGCAACAAGCCGGCTGACATTTGCACTTCACTGTGCCATATGGTGGCAGCAGTACTGATCAGGACCACAAACTGGCACCAGCTCCTGTCTAGTGGCACTGCTGTCTCTGCCTGCTTTAACATCATCTCTGTGGTAAGAGACCCTTCACCCAGTCCTCTGGCCCCTCTTTGCAGAGCAGACAGATCCTCATATGATCTTTTCCACACTTTGTTGAACTAAACGTTGCCTCTTTAGATTCTCAGAGTTTTATCTAAACAAGTCAGGTACATATACCGATATCTGCTGTATTTTAGTTTGAATGGTGTGCAGATATTTCATTGAAATTATTTTAATCATAATTTAAATGAAACTATCAGTTCAGCCAGGTTCGGAGTAAAAAATGCACATTTACATGTTATGGTACTGTTGAAAATCTCTCGTTAAATTCAGCAAAGTCTACGATGACTATTAGTTGCCATATGCTCCCTCACGAATGTTTGAGACTGCAGGATGAACAGCCTCTACATACAAGTTCCTGCACATGCTTCAGTATCTCTAAGAAAACTTTCAAGAAGCTCCTCTGAAAAGCTTTGGGATTTCTTGGCTTAAACTGCAGGAATATTTCCTACCACACAGCCATATTTCTACATGGAGAACAAAGTGTACTCGCTGGTCTCTCCGGCAAATGGACTGAAACGCGCAGAGACAAAAGGAAACCCCAGCCTGGTTGGAAAAAGAGGCGTGAAAATGAGAACGCTGGCTGGCTTAGCGGCGAGTTACATGCATCGCTCTCAGGGTCGACCCAGCTTGGCTTATCATAAAAGGCTTCCTCTGAGACATCCTCTTGGAGGATATCAAAGAGCTTCTGTGGTGGAGATCCAACTTGAGAGAGATCAAATGGAAATAAAGAACCTTCACCTTCCTTCAGTGCCTCGGTATCTGGCAGAGCCGGTCTGGATGATGAATACTACAGTACAGCGTTGGCAACCGAAGACATTTTCCCATGAAAGGTGAAGAGAGACAGAGAGAGGAGAGAGAGAGGAGAGAGACAGTCCGTTATTTTTTCCACTGAAGGCTCAGTGACCTCACCTGCAGACCCAGTGTTCCTGTGCAGAGCTGTGCAGCACCTTCAAGAAGTGAAAGTGTAAAAAATATTCCCCGTTGATGTTTGAGGAATAAAAACAGGCTGGATGACCTAAAATGTCGAGAGAGAAATAAAACGAAACAGACAATATTCTTCCAAAACTAGTTCTCTTTAAGCTTTTTAACGTATTTTTTAAAGTAAATTAATAATGCGTAAACCGCAAACTATAAAGCAGCGTTAGGTACAAAGCGTACGACAAATATTCAAGACACATTAACTGGCAGATCATTTGCAGGCCGTGACTGTAATTCCCGATTAGTATGTTAAGACTAAGTTTACATGTTTACAGATATTTGAAAAAAAAAAAAAAGATTTTTGTCTGTCCACACCAGAGGTATTTCTAAATATTTCTCTGTCCACACAACAACCGAGAACAAGGTATTGCTAGGTGCAGAATTTGAGATGAGAATTTTCTAAAGTTTCCACCAACAAAGCTGTTTTTGAAAACCTCCATTTTTAGTGTCTTAAACCTCTGCATGCGTGCAAAAGACTAAAACATACAGTCAAAGCTACATTTACAACAACCACTCACTACATGTGGTCTGAAAGCTTTTTTAAGTTGCTCCATTTTTATCAACCTAAAGCTCTGTTTCTGTGTGAATGGGACCTCAACCTAAGAACAAAAATATGCACCATGCCTGAGTTAAGACACCAAAGCCTCTTTCTCAAACTAAAACCTGAAAATTACTTGAAATTTTACCCAAGACGTATTATCCCACATGCCTCCGAGCACCAAGACTCAGGAGGCAGGTCAAGATGTATGGAAAACATAATGTAACGATGCGGAAAGCAGGGCGGTGCCAACGAAAGTTCAGCTCCATTTAACATCTAATGCAAATGGTCACCTCACCTCACCTCACAGTGCAAAGCATCCTGGTTTTGCTGTCATCCGGAAAATGGCTCGCAGTGTGACTTTAGTCTCTTATTGATGAATCATCACGTATTCAAAGCAAACAGTGGTGAACTCTGAGTTAAATTTACATTGTAGGTGTAATATTCAGAGTCTTAAATTCAGGGTTGTAAGTGATGCGGTCAGGAATCTCTCCTGGCCGCCTTCAGTGAGTTTGTTCTGTCATTATTTCAACACAACAGAGGACGAAGCACCAGAGAGCTACTCTATGAAAACAGTTTTTACATTTATATCAACACTGCATGTAAATAGATGGATATGGGCATCTTCACAGCTCTCCTCTTGGAAATGATTCTGCTTGTGTTGCTTTTTTTTTTGGTTCATGTTTTTTTAAAGAAAAAGTCTGGGTAAAGATTTCTGGAAGTTTCTGCATGTGTGAATACAGCTTTCGACATTTTTCCAAACTCTGTTCTGCTCATGCAGTCTGACAAACTACACCAGAGTTTTGAAAGTAAGACTGAACCTGCCGCTTCTGCAAAAGTCTCCATTTCAGAGGCTGAAACCACAAGAATATGTGGACGCTTTGCCCCCGAGAATTGCCTTGTAGCAACCATCTGATTTTTTTCCTTTGTTACCTGAAAAAACCTACTGGAGGAATCCTGAACTCTTTATGAATATAGGCTGTAAAGATTCAAACTACCTACAGAAAAACAAAGTAAAGCCAAGGATTAAAAACAGTGCAATTCTCCTTTAAGCAGTAATAATTTATGGTAAGTGTTTTGGCTGAAAATAATTCAGATGTCAAAGAAGGAAAACATTTCTTCCCCCTCATGCTGTGAGGGGATGTCAGTAAGGATGTTGCTACTTAATCATTGTATAGAATTATGTATGAGTTTGGAGCTACAATGCTGCCTTTCTCTGCTGCCAGCGCTCAAAGATAATCTGAAGAGCTGATTTAAATTTTGTTTTTCCACAAGATGAGTCATTTGCAATATGCAAAACTAATTATAACTATAATTCTGGGATAAGTGTTGATTGCTTCATCACACTTTTCTCTTCTCCACCCACGCCGAGGCCTACAACAAGCTGTCCTGTGCTATCAGACGTCCCCTGTCTGTGGGTGGCTGCTTCAATTGGTGGCCCACATGTCTGCAGGGTCCCTCACGAGTAGCCTCACCTCCAACAGAAACCCCCCCGCCTGTTCCCCTTTAGCATGTGCAGACAGATGAGTGTTTGTTCAGTACACACTTCTGTAGCTAGTATCCTCCTCCACTCCTCAAAGAGAGGACGCCTGCTGTGAAAGCGCACAGCAGGATGGCAGTAATGGCTCTGCTCTGTGTGTGTGTGTGTGTATGTGTGTGTGTGTGTTTGAGAGTAAATTACTGTACGCATGCAGCGGTGTGCCTTTAGCATGCACATGTTAATTCACAACCCTGTCATTATGTGTGTTTTAGTGTGTAGAGCTGAAGCTTTTACATGTTAACCGGACGTATTTGTTGCATGTTTGTTAAGCTGGTTGAATCACACAAAAATGAACACAGCTGGATAACGAAGGGTTAAACTGCTCAGAGTGATTTGTTAAGAGGTCCTGGTGTGTGCAGAAATACTGAATGATATGCTTACTATATTAACATCCGGATACAGATGTTAATATAAAAACCCCTGTGAGTGGGTTTTGGTGTTGTAATAGCCGTCTAAATATCATAATACAGTGCTGCACACACTGTCTTGTCCTGTTTAAGTCTAATAATGACTAACTTGCCTTATGATGTTGAAGGTTTTGGTCATAGGTTTCCCATACGTACCTGTTGACATGTCTGTTCATGTCAATGATGATCGGTTTTGTATTATGCGCACAACTCCACCCTTGTCTTAGCTTTCCTTTATTTGACGCATTGCTTTCTTGTTTTTTCAGTATTTTCCAAGAGAATCTTAATAAAACTATTACTAAGATATCATTATTTACTACTATAATCGTTGGGTGAAAATGTTGTATTAATTGATGCACTGATTGTGAAATCAGAACTGATGTTGATGTTTAGGACGATTAAGCTACTGCTGATGTTTTTAAGTCGTTTCTATAAGGCTGTGCAATATATCTTAGGGGTGTCCTGATACAACTTTTTGACTTCTGATACAATACCAATATTGTAGCCTTCAATATTGATCTGATAATGATCCAATATTAGCACAAAGTTGTGCATGAAAAGTATTTCACTAAGCTGCAATGTCTTTTTTCGGACTTAAACAAAAATTCTGCCACAAGGCCAACATCACTCCTACTTCTTGTTTGAATTCTAAGCTCTAAGACCAAATCTTGAGTTTTTTCCTCATGATTTTCATTTTCAAGTCAGAATTTTGACATTTTTTCCTCTAGTTTCCACATTTCAATTTCAACGAAATCTAAGATTATCGGTAAGAATTCATCTTTCAACTTAAAGTTTTTAAATAGGATTAGAAATGTGCAATTTTCTCACAGTTTAGACATTAATTTCATAATCCTGAAATTTTAGCAAAAATTCTAAAATTAAATCAATTCAAACTTTTTGGAAAAAAGAAATCTGGCTATCAGAAAAAATGATATTTTAAAAGTCACTGTTGTGAATTTGTGGGCTCAGCTTGCTGGATCAGAGCGCTGCTAGATAGAGGTGCTGGAGCAGAGTCTGGAGTGGACTGCTTGTATCGGTGTGCTGCTGTCATAGATTTTTTGCTGATATTGGACCGATATCCGATATCAATATTGTATTGGGACACCCCTAATATGCATATTAAATGCTAAATATAGCAACTTCTTGGTGCCTAGTTTCACTGTGTTCAGCACTCTGATGGAAGCTTTAATACCTGAATGGAGAGGTACAGACATGTAGGAGAGAGTACAGAAGGAGCAACATGTCAGTAATTAAACTTCATTTAGATGCAATCGGCTCACAATCAGTAATTTCTTTCAGTCAAAATAGTGTTTCATGTGCCCTGTTTTTTTGGGCCCATGAGTATAGAGGTCTGTGTGTGCACCCCATGAAAGTAGCAATGTCATGATGATTAACTGAACGTATCAAGGAATGGACTGGAGAGGAGAATTGAGCATAAGGCCATCTCACTAATTTTACTTCTATCCTGTGATGTGCTGCTCTTCTGGGTTCAACATGGCATTATATGAAATAGTGTTTCCAAGCTAGATGTGTCACTTCTTGGCTCTGCACAAAGTGTGGGGGTTTTATTTGAAGAGGACATATAGGAAAGTTTCTCTGTAAACGTTAGAGATGGATTGTTTGATAGAGGTTCAAACATGCTTCTACATCTCTTACAGTACAAACAGAGAGAGCAGCAGAGTAAAATAAGGTGCATTATTCACCTGTTGCATTATTAGACTCTAGACTGTAGGTCCATTGACAAACATCTCTCCTAAAATCTAAAATAAAAGTTTCATAGTTTTTTTTCTTTAGTACAAAACTTCAACAAGCCAGCAGTTTTCCAGATTTACATGGATGTGATGAGAAGAAAGGATGCTCAAGGATACAGATACGCATCTGTGTGCGTCATGATATTTGCTGATGCGCTGATGTCAGCCAACAGGGCCGATATTTGCTGACACTGATATTTGGTTCATACAGCGGTGCATATTTAGTGATATCGGTACAGCTCTAATGTGACCCAGTGCACGGTCCTGATGAAAACGACAAAATGTCAGAGTGAAACTTTAGACCTCTGTTTGTTTACTTCCCTGTCTGTTAGCTTGTTTGTGGTTTATATTGTGTATGTGTGTGCGTGCTGGACTTGCTAAGTGTGTTGCCTCACAGGGACCTGACTGGCATTTAGGCAGAATATTCCCACAAGCCGATGTGTAATTAATTAGCCTGCTGTTCACAGCCGCCGCTCTACCACCGCCCTGCTTCCTGCCCGCTCCCCCCTTCCCCCGCCTCCCGTCTCATAAGTTAAGATAGGGATAATCAGATCCACTGGGAACTCTTCACAGCCACCAGCTACCCTCTCCTCCCCAAACACACACACACTCACAC